GGTACACTCAGGGTACACAGACGACAACTTTTTAAATTTAATTATCATTTACGGGGAGTGTAATAGAATTGTTAGTAGAACATGTCGCGTGCTGTATGTATTTGAAACTTTTAAATTAACTTGAATAAAAAGTCTAAAAATGGAATAAAAGTGCAGTATTCTTTGCGTGTAAATGTAAGACCGATACGATTTATCGGGTGGAGGGTAATCGGGCGATCGGGGGCGATCGGATTTATATACAACTGTAAGTGTGATAATAGCTCTTTCCGAGAAAGTCAATTTAGTCCTTTCTTTTCCTGCTTAATCGTTCCTATTTCCAATTCCACTCGTTTTCCGGCAAAACCGATTTACGCGTTCCGGAGGGCCCCTATCGCCCTTATCTTTAAATTGCTTAATACTCTTTCATTGATTACACACAATTATTGACCAGTGGGATTTAAATAGCGATGGGGAATGGATCTGGCACGGTACGGCGCTGGAAAAGGCAAAGATAAATGTAAATGACAGAATCAGATCTATTTTCTATTTGGTCTTATTTTATCTTTGATTTTATGGAAAGGTCTTATTGTACGTAACGAAACTGCTATTTACTCTGTATAACAAATTTATAAGCACCTACATATAAAAATTTCTTAATGTAGGATGTTTCATTATAAGAATTTATTTATTTATTTAAGAAGTCCTTGCCTTACAGGTATAAACCCAATTACAAAGCAAGATGACAAGAAAATACAAGTAAAAGCACAAACACATCTTACATAAGTTAACAAAACAAGAAAATAGCAATAAAAAAGTTGAATAACACAAATTATGATGAAAAGAAAAAGAAAGAAAGAAAATGCCAGAGTTTTCAATGAATCAATGCTCTGGAAACGGCTGACAGAGTACTGCTAAAAATATCAAAATTTAATTGACTGCTGCATACATCACACATTAAATATAACGGAGAGAATTTTAAAGCGTTCGTTCTCGGTGTAGGTAAATAAAAAACATTAAAATGCCTTTGAATTGTTCTGGGTACATACAAATTGAATCTTGATAAAATATCAGGACAATCAATAAGATTGTTAATTATCTTATACAAGGTGATTAGCATAAAGTATTCTCTGCGATTTTTTAATGAAGAAAAGTTAAACCTCCTTAATAAGTCATCATGTGGAAAACCCTGCTCGGGATAAAAACCAACGCTTTTATATGTCAAATATTTCAAAAACTTCCGTTGTATTCCCTCCCAAATGATTTTAATGCCTCAGAAATAACAGTATTTATGTGATGAGAAAAAGATAGTTTTGTGTCAAATAGGACACCTAGATGCCTAAACATATCTACTTTAGAAATACGATTGCCATTCAGTGAATAGTGATATGCAGTTGGCGTCTTTTTTTTAGTAGTGACATACTATTGCATTTTTTAATGTTTAGAATTAAAGAGTATGATAGGAAATTGAGCGAGGATAAAACGATTTAGTCAAATTACCTTAAAAAAATGGTACACCTACGCCCCTCTCCCCCCCTTAATTGGCTAATTGTCAAACCAAAGTGTTTATATTGGTGAGCCGCTGATGTATGACCTTTTTTAGAAACAAACGAAAAAGTGTTTAGGTTTTGAAGTGGTTGAGCTTTCTTTTTTAAAGGCCCCCCCCCACCCCAAGCAAAAATCCTAGCTACGCCCATGGAGGAAGCATATATTGAACTGAACATTTGCAAATTGTAATCTAGACCACCTAATTCGAGGGATGGAATATTAAAAACAAATTAACGTACTTAATTAATTCATGACTGCCAAAAAACTTGCTGTTTGAACACCGCATATTACAGAGAAAGATTTTTCGTCCTTCTGGAGGCAGATCTGCAAGACAGGCCCGACTATTAACTCCATCGGAGTTGCCCCGTCTGGCGGAAGCGGTTATTTCACCCCGGAGAGTTCCGAGATCCGATAATCTCCAGGAAAATCTGTTTAATAACGATGATTGTCGGCGGCATCGTTATCAATCACCCGGACCTAGCTGGCAGGAGGTTGGGAATTATTCTCGAAGAGAGGCACAGGCCTACAATCGACTTCCAAGAACTTTGGTTGGCTGATTCTTCCGCAGGGTGGTCGATCTGTCGGTTTACTTCTTAAATATTTATTAATTTGCAAGCTTAAATTTTTCCATAGATACACACAAAAAAAAATGTGATAATTTTTCGGTTACAGGATAAATTAACCAAAAAAAAATGTTTATATATTTTTTTTGTTATTCGGCAAAGTTACCTAGGTGATATACAGGGTGTTCTGAAAGTCCGTCAGGAAACTCCGGGAAGTGATTCTAGGGATTAAAATAATAGAAGTATGTAATGAATTTTTTTTCGAATTGTCAATTATTTGCAAGTTGCAGTTTGTCAAAGTTCAATCTTTCTTATTTTTCTTTTTAAATAATTTATTTAATTCAATTTCGATTAGTCATTCGACACATCCACTAAGAAGATCAAGGTCTAATGGACCAGTCAGAGACACTTTCATTATGCGCCGCTAGAAGACATTGTATCTGGAACTTAAAATATGTTTTGTTCATAATTTTTTTTTCTCTTGATAGACATCACAGAGATTTAAAGATTATTGAAAAGAAAGAGAAACATTATCAAAAAAAATTATATACTCTTTATTCAAGCCGATAAATATAACTGTTTAGCAGGAAATCGCTATTGAAGTTTTACTAAACATCAAATTTTTAATAATTATTTCTGTAATCAATCAAGGTGCCATACTTCAAATAACTGTAATTAGTAATTATTGTGTTAAGAATTGTAAAACCAGCTTTAGTAAATAAAATATCATTAGTTTTATTATCCACAATGCTATTAGTAGCCGCAAAACAAATATTATAGTGAAAAATTAAACTTATACTTGTTTTAAACAATTTTCGTTACAAATTCGTAACACCATAATTTCTAATGACATTTAGTTGAAGCATGACAACTTTATTAATTACAGAAAGAATTATAAAAATTTAATGTTTAATAAAACTTTAATAGTGATTTCCTGCTAAATGGTTACATTTATCAGCTTGAATAGTACATATTTTTTCTGATATTTTTTCTCTTTTCAACAATGTTTAAATTTCTGTAATATCTTGCAAGGGAAAAAAGTTATGAACATAACAAATTTTGAGTTCTAGGTAAAGTGTCCTCTAGCGGCGCATAATAAAATTTTTCTCTAAATGGCCCAATAGAGCTCGATCTACTTAGCGGGTGTGTCAAATGAGAAACTAATCGAACTTGATTAAATAAGTTATTTAAAAAGAAAAATTAAAAAATTACTTTCACAAGGTATTCGAAAAAAATTGCAGTACATACTGCTAATGTTTTAATCCCTAGAATCAACTCTCGGAGTTTCCTGACGGACTTTCAGAACACCCCGCATAAAAATAATAGTGAGTTTAAATTTAAATTTTCCTGGTGATTTCATTAAACTTACGGAACAAAATGACTGAAAATTATCTGAAATGAACAGCGCCGACAGCAACGACGCGAAAATTTTCGCTACAGTTTCGGATTTTTGGAAAATAAAATAATTTTATAACTTTAAAGGCCTTATGATCATCATTAACCGAAATCATTTTCGGTCAATAACCCTTCTTTTTCAAGGAAGTAATTTCTCAGTTTTAACGCAAACACTACTACAGGACGCTTGCAGACCCCGCCTCGACTGTATTCGAACGTCAGCCTGAGTACCCTGCACCTGGCCAGTATACTAATACGTTCTAATTTTTTTACTTTTGCGTTGATTACTATTTTAGTTTATTGTAAATTAATCAAGTTAATACCTCACAATGTTTTCAAATTCAAAACTTAATATAATTACGAAGACGGCCTCCTGCTCCAGGTACATTTTAACAATTAAATTTAATTCTTATACAGTTGTGGTCTAGTTGTAAGAGAAACAAGTCTTTGATGATACCGAACGTTTTGATTAATACCCACTTTAAAAAATAAGAGATATTAGTTCGCCAAATCTTTCATTCGTTTTTCATCGTATAAAACAGTACATTTATAAGGTACTTTACTACGACCTGCGGTAATTCTGCAAAATTTATTGAAGTTGTTGACGTTGCCATTACTCATATTCGTGTAAGACAATAAAAATTAGAATGTCATGGTCCACCAGTATTTCAACGTTAAGATCGCTTGCATCTACATGTTAACAGGAATTTCCAAAGGCGTCTACTAAAAACGATACAAGACAGTCAGTAGCAACTTTCATATGTGTACATTTTTTTTTGGGGCATAAGTAAAAATTTAAAACTTCTTTTGTTGTTATTAAAGTGCTTTTCGGAGGTAATTTTTTAGCACAAACATGAAACAAATCATTAATCCAGATAAATACTAAGTACTGTACATTTTACTAGATGATAGATACTTGAAGGCATCAATTAAAATACAATTTGGTTCTTCCTCGTGTTCCTCATTTTGGGACGACCCTGAATACGAGCTGTATTAAATCAAGATTTTATTTTTTCTCCCATTTGAAATAACACATTGTGCCGGCTTCTTTGTAAACAATTCTAGGAATAGGCAAGGTGGCTATGCTTCGGCAGTTGGAATTAAAAGTTGTGGGTTTTCCTATGAAATTGAAGTCTTTTAAATGCTAACTGATTGTGTCTGAATTATTATTAAGTCGATCCTCGTAAATTTCAAGCAGGAAGTTATACCTATTGGTGGAAACTCGACCTCATTCACATTTAAATCTCTATTTTGTATTTATCCAATTTCAACTGATGTAATACGTCGATTAACACAAATGAAGATTTCACAGAATTCGTAGTTATTTAAACATTTAGCAATTATCAGCTTAATATATTTATGTAGATTGTTTTGGTTATAATAATTTACGGACATAAATCTCGCTTATAAGATATTCCAGGTATTTCTAAAGCAATACCAAATTAAAATAAAAAACGACAAATACAAATTAAGTATTTACAAAGTATTTAGCAAAATAAAAAGTGGGAATGGCCTCACCTTGCTCCTCGTCGTCTGTGTCGTCTTCGTATTCCTTGCATTCCACATTCAAAGGACTACTTGACCTCCCACTAACACTATGGCGAAGATGGGCGATATATTTGGCAAGAATTGTACCTACGACATGATTAAGAATATCTTTAGTACCTACATAAGGAAATATTTTAATTACTTCAAGAACATAAAAAAGAAAAGTGATCTGTTCCAGAAACTTTGTAAGTATCCTTATGTATTTTGACGCGCTGCTCCATCACCATCACCATTTCGCGAAAAAACGTCCTATGCGCTGAATCTGAATTCAGGGCGGTTGTTCGCTATTTAAAAAAAATGGGGATCAATGGAGCAATTCTGACACCGGATTCGGATTTAAAGTCTCAAAATACATAAGGATACGTTGGTCTAGTCTTTTCGAACATACCACTTTTTTGTATGGCTGTGTTATCAAAACATGGTAAAGAACATAATATCTATAAAAGCGTAGAAATACCATGTATTTTAATTAACGCGAATTTTCACTCTACATACCCTTCACCATCATAAAGTGCAGTAAAATGTCTACTAATAATGTTTTTAAGTTTTCAGGATTTATGAAGTAATTCGACTGTTCACTTAGTATTTATCAAAGCACAACTAAACTAAGAGAAAGTTTGGGATTCCTTTTACCTGATCTGGAACATTCGGCTCTAGTTTCGAATTCGGTTCTGCTCAAATCGCAGATCTCGGCTCCAGTTTTGGGGAATTTTTCAGGATCAGGTTTCGGTTGAAGGGAGAACTTTCGGGAGCTCCATTCTAACCAAGACTTAATGTGTGAACTGGTCCATTCCTGTGGATCTAAAAGTACATAAAAAATTTGTTATTTTTAACATCAGTTATTTGCAATTTATTATTTCAGAACTTTTGTAAAGTCTACAAGAAGAGCTAATTTTCTTGGAACGCGTAAACGTAAATTTTCTGAATCTGAATTATATGGAAAAATTTATATTTTTATGAACTTGGATAAATAAGACTATAATAGCACATTGTTGTGAATTACACGAACGACTTATTTTAATCAATGTTGTTACAATTATGAATAACGTACAAACACTCCAAAGTCTGCAATATAATACTATCATACTGAATTAACAATAATAGATAACGCGACTTTCTTCCCGACTTGCTGTTTCTTAGAATCGGGATTTATTGCTAGAAGTATATCGACCCCATCTGCTTAATTTTGTAACAACTGAAATAAGATTATAGAAGACGGAAGTAATATGTATTTAGTAAAACTAGCTTTTAGGTTTCCTCGAATCGGTATTCCTCCAAAGCGTGGAATAATTTCTCTACCGGGTAAAGAGAAATAGCTTTCAAGTAGGTGGATTGATAACTGATATGCCGATAAGAATATTAGCTTCAACTGACCCTCGTTGTGTATACTTTTATTTATTTGAGAATATAGATGATTCTCAGTAATTGCGTTTTCCTATAAATTTTGATTAGGTTGAATTGAACGCTCTCTCTATTCGGATGTCTAGTTATCGTTAAGGATCGTATTTCCTAAGATATTTGTCGTAAATATATTTACACATATACACACACATGTACCTACAGTTTTCAATTCTTCGATTTATTCCTTTCCTCTTAATGGAATATGCATGTCGTTTTAAAATTGATTTAGATGTGTTTCAATAAAGATTACGTATTTCTTCGACTTACATACAGGGTGAGTCAGTTTTTTGTAGTAGGATTTTAACAGTTGATAGAGAATCATTTTTTAATAAGAAAAGTTCCTATAAACGTCTTAGAACGCTTCGTTTGTGATATATAGGGTGTTGAAAACAAACTTTTTATTAAGAATTTTTCTTAATATCTATATCTAATATCTATATATTGAACTGAAATTTGGTATTAATAACACATTATAGTTATGGTAAATAAAACAAAGATATCTGTTATCCATTTCACAGACCAGTGACGTGCCTGAGGTGGGTTACTGCCCCCTTTAACAATTCGTACGCCCGTGGATTTTTCTAGAAAATAACATCATTTCGAAATGTTCTAATCAATTCTGAACAAAACAGCTCTCTTTAAATTTTTTATAAAATGAACGGTTTTTGGTTAAATTCCTTTGGGGTAGGTACATATTTTTCTTATTACAAATGTATTACCAATATCGTACAGTTTCATGCTAAATGAATTTAACCAAAAACCGTTAATTTTATAAAAAATTGAAATAGATCTGTTTTGTTCAGAATTGATTAAAAAATTTAGAAATTATGTTATTTCCCAGAAAAATTCACGGGCGTACGAATTATTTTTTTAAATGGGGCAGTAACCCACCTCAGGCACGTCACTGGTGGGTAAAATGAATAACAGATATCTTTATTTTATTCACCATAACTAATATTCTATTAATACCAAATTTCAGTTCAATATACAGGGTGGTCCGAATTTTATGCAGGAAACTTCAAGGGCAGATAGATCTCTTTAAAATAATAGCTGTTTGCCTTATAAACATAGGACTGGAACGGCCTCGTTTTAGAGATACAGGGCGTTGAAGATGTTAAAAAAATTAAATTTTTTGTTTATATCTCCGGAATCTATTAACCGATCTCAATAAAATTTAGTACAGATAATGTATGACAGTAGGCCTTGCATTACCTAAAATATTAGCTCTAAAGGTTCAACCAGTGGTGTACAACTGGACAGGATCACCCCTTTTTTATAAAAAAAAACCTACGCCACTGTATTTTTTACAAGTTATTGTAACGGATTTATATTCTAATGCACAAAATACGTAAAATAGGTAACTTGAATTTTTTCCGTAAATTTCACCGTTCTCAAGTTATTCATACTAATACAATCCCCTTGTGGCAGATACTTCTAACCATGATATTACAATAGTATTTATGTTTATGCTTAAAAGTAAGTGCAATTTGTAAGCACTTCAACAAAATTCTTTACACTCGTCGCTTTCATCTTTTTGGATTAAAAAACGTCTCTGCAACTCGGGATGAGTAAATCGAAGATTTAAAAAGTTCTACATAAAGATGGTAGAAATCCGTACCATTAACAACCTGTGCAAAATTTACTTTCGGAAGATGCAGAGAGACACCTGAATTTTTGTCAGTGGTTGTTAAAGTCACAACATAATACAGAATCCTTACTAAAAATACTTTGGATCGATGAAGCTACGTTCAATCCTCATGAAATTCGAACAAGATCTTTTCAAGACGAATTTTCTGTGAAAGTGTGGCTCGGAATAATTCGCAGTAAAGTTTGTGGACCTTTCTTCTTGCTACCATCCAAATTCCCAATAATTTCTTAACTCTCTAGAAAACCATCTATTTGAATTATTACTTTCAAGCATAACCATAAATATTCTTGTAATATTATGTTTTGAAATGTCTGCCACAAGGGGACTGTATTGGTATGAATAACTTGAGAACGGCGAATCTTAGGAAAAAAATTCAAGTTACCTTTATTACGTAATTAGTGCATTAGAATATAAATCCGTTACAATAAGTTATAAAAAATACAGTGGCGTAGGTTTCTTTTATAAAAAGAGGGCGACCCCTGTCCAGTTGTACACCACTGGTTGAACCTCTAGAGCTCGCATTTTAGGGAATACAAGGCCTACTGTCATACATTATCTGTACCAAATTTTATTGAGATCGGTTAATAGATTTCGGAGATATAAACAAAAAATCAATTTTTTTTAACAACTTTAACACCCTGTATCTCTAAAACGAGGTCGTTCTAGACCTATGTTTATAAGGCAAATACCTATTCTTTTAAAGAGATCTATCTGCCCTCGAAGTTTCCAGCATTAAATTCGGACCACCCTGTATATTGGTCTTTTAGAGATATTAAGATTCTAAGATTAAGATACTAAAATTCTTAAAAAAAGTTTGTTTTCAACACCCTATATCTCACAAACGAAGCGTTCTAAGACCTACGTTTATAGGAACTTTTCTTATTAAAAAATGAATCTCTATCAACTGTTAAAATCCTACCACAAAAAACTGACTCACCCTGTACTATAAGATGTATCTTAAACGTATACACATATTTTAACCATTTTTCGAATTTCAAATATTTACGGAGGTATGAATTTCTTTAAATCCACCCATTCGTATATGCATATTTTGAGAACCATTGTTCATGCAAAAGGTATTCAAAATCCTGCTTCCTGGTGAACAATTAATGAATAAATATGATGTTCTACTTTCCCTTTTTTTAACACAACGAAGTTACAGACAAGTCGTTTTTGCTAACCTTGTAGATAAATGGTGGTGCACATTTCTCCTTTCACTGTTCAACTTATGGTTTGACCGAAAATTTATCTCTCCAGTACTTATTTTTGACTCACCTCGTATAGTTTAGTTGCACCAAATAATATTTTTAATTATGAGATTCATAATTCAGTAAGTCATATTTTTTTATATTTTATGAGCCAAATGGAAAACAAAATAATAATTTTCATGTCTAAAAATTTGGAAAGCGTGTTGTAAAAAACAAGCCCGGTGAAAATAGACATTTAAAGTTACAATAATTCTCATAAAGCTGAAAATTGGTATGAACGTTGGGAACACCATTACAAATGAAATGTGAAAAGTCCCCATCGATCCCACATCTGCAAAAAAATTTATTCAAGGTCAAAGTTCGCAAATATGGTCTTTTTCATAAAAATAGGTCAGACAAAAATTGTAAACCATTATCTATGAAAATTGTTCTTACACTTTTTTTTCCTAAGAATCACCATTTCTGAGATATAGCAATTCAAAAAGTTGAACCAACCGAAATAAATTATTTATTATTTTTAAAACCAGGGAAGGCTCAACAGCGATCGGAACTGTATTCTTCCAAAAGTTTATCTGCTTTTTTAAAATGCCAAAATCACATACCTACTATTTTTACACACAATAACTGGCTGCCATACGACATTAGCAATTTTTAGGGGGGTAAAACAACAGTTTTTTAAATTGTTTGAAAAACAAGATTTAGTTAATTGTGCTAAAGTATTTAAAGAGAGTACTCCACAAGCTGTAATCACCAACGGAATTCGCTTTATTCTTTCTATATACGGAGCACCAAAAAAAATTACGTGCTTAGATAAGTTTCGATACTTATCTTTTGTAAAAAAAATACTCGTAGCAATAAACGAGTGCAATTAACTTGTCCTCCCTCAACCTCTGCTTCTGCTCATCAACATCTATTTCAGATATATTATCAAGTTCAAGTGTGGCTTGGTAGTCAACTGAACCCAAAAGACTGGAGTTGGAAGTTAATTGACAATAGATTGGAACCAATCCAGACTTTACTCCCGCACCGAAAAAGCTCCTCATTATGCAATGCAAAAATGGATGTAGTGCTAAGTGCGGCTGCAAAAAAGTTGGATTGTTTTGTTCATTATCATGTACCAGTTGTCAAGGCTAATCGTGCTGCAATGTTGAATCGTCATCAGAAGAGGGTTCTTACGATATCAGCGAGGAGACATCTGATGCATCGCTGTTAGAACAATTTACTTGTATCCAGCAGCAAGAAGAAGGAGGAGGAGAAGAAGAAGAAGACATTACAGTTGAAGTTCCATCAGATAATTATTATCAATCAGACGAATAGTTTTCCCCAATTACGCATAAATCACACCGCTTTCATCATTTCCAGTAGTAGGTACCATTTTTTATTTAATACAATATTATTTAATTAAACAGGACCACAATAGATCGTGGAATAGGCCTACTGGGGAAACCACGTTAATAAAACGCGCGTACAGTACCTCGCAGGTGGCGTGGAAACGTGTGCACATTATGGAGAACACAACTTTTACATCTTTTTGGATCGCAATA